TATCACTCATCTTTTTCCAGTTGGTGTAGTCCTACACAGGTTGGATTTCTAGTCATTCATAGAAATTATCACTTTCAAAGTAGCTGAATAAGTTACGAAGAGACTCTCAAATCCCACCCCTACCCAAGATGCCCCAAGTCTTGCCAGTTAGATCTTTCCCTAAAAAAACTCCAGCTAAATTTTATTACAGCCGAAGGTAAAAAAAAAAAAAAAAATTAAGTCCATTTGTATTTAAAATTAACTAAACTATGGATTAATCCTCACAATCATAAAACTGGAAGTAGGCATGCAGACAGGGATAAGACAAAATTCAGTGCATCCATGCCCCCAGGCACAAGTACTCAACACTCTCTGAATGTGAAGTCATTTATGAAGTCCTTTACAACATGCAGTCAAAGAGGTTAATTGAAAAATTTCTTAATGTCATTATGAAAGAACTAGATTAACCCAAGTTAATTCACTTTATTGTTCAAAATAAAGAGGAATAAGCATTGAACTCACTTGCAAATTTGGGGCATGAATTAGGGGTGAGATGTTGTCTTTAAGGACTCTGCCAGTTTAATTAAGATATGGAAAATTACTTATTGTTCTTCACCACTAAAGTGCTAGGAATTAACAGCCAAATGTGATGCCTGTGCCTTTCATATCTCTACCATGTGTTTGTTTGTTTAATACCCATAAGACTACATCATTAAACCTCAAGCACTGATTTCACTAATTCAGCACGAGAGCTACATGCTACAGCAGCAAACACCTTTTCGAGTCAATCATAATTGAACAGCTGGATGTAAAATGCAGTATTATTTTTAGGCTCGCCTCTAACTTTGACTTCAAACCACAAGCCCTGTTTTCCTCCAAAACAAAATACCTTCCTACCTTTGTAATACATCCACTAAATATAGTGGGACTACATGGAGAGCGTGTGACGTATTTTATCCACTTTATCGGCTCCTCGTAATTATAGGTGCTACAACTGCCAACATCACTGCACTTCTCTTGTCTTAGCGAAACATAATGCAGGTTGTTTGTTTTCCTTTAGGAAGTATTACTTAAGAGAGCAGCAGACCTTGTTGAAGCCCTATATGGGATGCCCCATAACAACCAGGTAGGTCACCAACGCGGTCTTTGTTCCCATGCTGACACGTGTAGATCAATACCTGCTCTTTGCAGAGCTGGCAGAGCATCAGCACGTTCCCTTTGTACACAGCCGGGCTTTGCCAGCCACCTTGAGGGCAGTCTGATGTGATGCAATGCTCCGAGGGAAACGCTTCATCTTCCCCTTCTCCTCTTGCCGCTCGTTTGCCCATCAGAAATGACAATTAAGTGTAAGGTGCCAAAAGCATAAGCAAGCATTAAGGCAGGAGAATAACCTTGAACTTGGGCCAAAATATACAGTGACTAATGGGAAGTCCTAAAGAAATCTGCTAAACCGAGCGGATCAGACCTACTGTATTTTGCAAACTGCTGAAAATACATCTCCTGTCCTGGGCGAATAAAACGTGTGTTGGGATTTTGACTTGACTTCCAGTGCTAAACTCTGATTTTAATTTATATTAATTTCTTCATTTCTTTATACTTACTGTGCTGAGGTGGAATTGTAGGGAGGAAAACAGGAGGTGTTGCTGAAACATGCAGCAAACTCCCCACCCCTACTGTAATTCCACATGAACCTCTTCGGTAAATTTTAGCGTTATTGCGACTTGGGCTATTTGCGCAAATCATTGTCCGGGTTGTTAGAGCCCCCTGTTCTGTCTTTCCAGGAGATAATCCTGAAACGAGCAGCTGACATTGCCGAGGCGTTGTACAGCGTGCCCCGCAACCACAACCAGATCCCCACTCTAGCCAACACTCCCGCTCACACCGGCATGATGGGGGTGAACTCCTTCAGCAGCCAGCTCGCCGTCAACGTCTCCGAAACATCGCAAGCCAACGACCAAGGTAGGCGGGATTTCAAGAGTTAATCCTCCACCTTGGTGACTGCTTTTGGCCAGTGCCATCAATCCGAGATGATGTCACCGCCCTGTCCTATCTCTTTCTCTCTCCCTACTCGTTGTGCCTGAAATGCCGTCTTTAACTTTCTCGAAGTATTTAATTCTTCCTGTTCTTTCATTTTGCTGTTATCATAAAGCATCTCTAGTGGGGGAAAAAAGTGCAATTGGCAAAGTGTAGAAAGCTCTTTGTTATTCACAGTAAATATACAACTTGTATGTTTTTTTTTATATATAAAATAATTATGTCTAGGTACCTCCACCTGGTTTTGGAATATTTACACAGATAAATCTAATTTGATGTCTGTGATTTTAAAATACTTTGTTTGTAGGCATGTGTGACATATATGTTACTAATAAAAGTAATAGTTGATTTAATTTACCTGTTGTAATTGAAAATGCATGTAGCATATTGCATTTGAAATTAATTTTGATACTAATGAAAGGAGGGAAACAGGATTATTAGATATGTTCAAACGCATATTTTTTTTTTGCTTGCAATGTAATTATTAAATTGATTGCTCAGATAGGAACAAATTGTTGTTTAAATCCTGATTCTGCTATGTTTCCTCTTCTAAAAAGATTGTCTTTTAATGCGTTTCCAAGCTAATAAGCCTTATAAAATTCTGTTCTTGCTCTTGAATTAGTTTTCACTGATGGCTACACCTTATGAAAGCTTGTTGTTAGCATAAAAATATCAATCACAAAATGAAGACCCCAAAACAGCCTTTTAAAGTAAATCACTGCAACAAAAAAGTTTTTCTTGTCAGCTCTGGCATTTGAAGGTCTGGAGAGGCTGAAAGTTCACGCAGTGTGTTGGTACAAAGCGGGACTTGAGCCTGTTGATAATTGCTCCTAAAGACAAACGTGAAGGCACCTGACACAGCTGGATCGAAGAGAGCTTTTGTTGGCTGTCTGTGCTAAGAGGAGAGACAACATAGAGTGCTCGCGGATGATTTAAGTAGGGTTGGCGTGATAAGGTTATCTCAAGCTGCAAGAGTTGATAGGGCAGTGAGAGACAACTCAGAGCAAAGCTGTGCAATCAATTAAAACTGTGTAATATATGCTGCATGAGGAAACCCCCCAGCCCTAAGTCTATCTTATAAAATAACATTATTTTTTTGGGGTGGGGGGGTTTCTAACACAGTAGGTTACAGTCGCAACACAAGCAGTGTTTCCCCGCGAGGATATGTTCCCAGCAGTACTCCTCAGCAGTCCAATTACAACACAGTCAGCAATAGCATGAATGGATATGGCAATGCCGGCATGCCCAATCTAGGTGTACCAGGTTCCCCTGGATTTCTTAATGGCTCCTCAGCTAACTCTCCTTACGGCAGTAAGTGTCTATTTTTGGTAACGCATCATCATATAGATTCATATTTACTACAAAAATCAACTTCCTTGCATTGTTTTGATTTTCCTCTGTTGTCAGCTACTGGATAAAAGGAGGGGTGACTCTGGAGGCTGGACGTAAAAATGAAAATAATAAATTGATCTGTTTTGTGCCAGAATACAATCTCAGACAGAGAAAAAAAAATAAACCAAACCGAAACAAACAAACAAACAAACAAACAAAAATAAAACAAAATAAGAATTGGACTGCGCAATTCGTAAAAAAAGTCCAACACAAAAGAGTTTGCCTGTTATCCAGAGAGTGGCCAAGCCAAGGCATTTCATTTTTATTTTTTTATATATATTTTTTTTATATATATATATATATATTTCTATATATATTTTAAGAGGCAAGGCCCTATCACTCTCTTTTTTCCGTGTTTGCCGTGAAAACCTCAATCTGAGTCCTGATTATTTTTGCTTTATTGCAGTAGTGCCGTCAAGCCCTACCATGGCAGCCTCTTCGGTCACCCTCCCTTCAAACTGTAGCAGTACACACGGCATTTTCTCATTCTCACCTGCCAATGTCATCTCTGCAGTGAAACAAAAGAGCGCCTTCGCTCCTGTTGTCAGGCCCCAAGCCTCTCCTCCACCATCTTGCACCAGTGCAAATGGAAATGGACTTCAAGGTGAGCTGGATCTCTCTCAATTTTCTGTGTATTACCTTTTTTTTTATTTTTGGTGCATACTCTCAAGCCCTGATGATTTCTCTGGGAGAAAGGTACATGGCTAATTTTGGTTTTTTAGGTTCCCGGTGCTTTAGTAGTGATGCAAAAGCAGGGGGAGAAATAGGGTAGCGCAAATGGTCTGCTGAGATCTTTAGTTCATTTTTAACACTTGCATTAGAGAAAGCACTAGTTGTTTTTCTGGTATTTTCCCTTAGGAGTTTGTGACTTGAATTTTAAAGGAATAGTGTATCCCTGAATGCCTCTTGGAGGGTTCATGTACTCCGTGTGTTTATATGTTTTTTGAACACATTTCTGTGGATGTTTAAATCCCGCAGCGTTCCGGCAGGTCGTGGTGTGATTTCCTTGTTTTGCGTAGGGTGCAATAATGATTTCAAATATGTCAGGTTAATATAAATCAGGTTAAGCTCTCACTCAGTGAACCAACCTTCCCCTGGACTAGGTAGCCCTGTATGCAGGGGGTTTGCATGCTCTGGTGGTCCCAGCTCGCTCTCTTACTGTGGTGTTAGAGTGGTTACATCCCTAAGTGAAATGAATATTTAAATTAAGGCAGGCAATTTTAATATTTTGCCTTTTTTTTTTTTCTTTTTTTTTAATCCATGTGATTTTGTGTGGGCAGTGCAAGGAATAACTTATAAACCAGTTGCAGAATTCCCATGGTCATCTGCTGGGAGTGGGGCAGGAGGAATTACAATACAGTGTATGTTTGGTAGAAAAACAAAAATATGAGCAAAGAATTCTTCCCAAAAAAGAAGACTTAGGTCCTTTTATACCACTTTTAACACATTTTTTGACATTCAGAAGACAAGACTATAGATGGATTAGAATAATTGCAATGTTTACCTCTGGTTGAGTCTCGTTGTGCAGTGAATTGGAGCACTTCAGATCCCATCGAAATCAGGAAGGGTTGAGGACACTCATACCCCGGAGGTCATCACTGCTCTTGACTTCCTCAGCTAAGAATTAGCAGTACAGTGTTATTTATTCTTTGTATTACCATGACACCCATGATACAATGAGCACTCACAGGCAAACAGATGACAGATATTTTAATTTGCCAAACAAATTCTGAACACCTGCATTTTGTGGGATCTGAAGGCACTTTGGAGAGACATAATCCCAATCCCAAAGAGCTGCCTGTCCGCCACAAATCCAGATTATTCCAGATCAGGATCTCAAAGTTAATGTTTCTGTAGCTTCTTTTTCACTTCTTGGCCCATAAAAGCCTATGAGAGCTTGTTATGCACTCAGGTCAAGGAAGAGCTGAGGATTCAGCTGTGCAAACTTATTGTGTGATGAATGTTAAAGGAAAGGATAATTAGATTAACCATTTCTTTCATATTTCTTTGCTGGAAGCTTCACTATGTTACTACTGTAGGGAGAAAACTATATTGATATTCTTAGAAAGAATAATCCATTAATAAAATAATCCAGTGTCCTACTTTCCTCTTTTTATAAAAAGACACTACTATGAAAAGTAAATACTGAAATAAAGTAATGAAAAATAAAATCTTAAAAATAAAATACTAAAATAAACTAAAAGAATAGAAATAAAAGACATTAAAATTAATAAAATAAACAAAATAAAATATTACAAATGTGGTAACACATGACTTAGATCTGAGTCAACTCCTCTGTAGCAGATATTTATATATATATTCATACTAACTTGTTGATTGTAATTTACTCTGAAAAATACAATTATTTAAACGTCTAAACTAAAATGATCTGAATTTCTGTAACTTCAGTGTGTAAATACAGGGTTTCCCATCAGATAGTCAAGGGTTTAGGTGCTTAAAAGCTCTAGATTACTGCAAAGTGGGGTTTTAAGGAGAACTGGGTGGGCTGAATGCCTGCACCAAGCACCCAGCGTCCCTTGGCACCTCCCCAAACCTTTAATAATTGTACATCTCCAGCCTCAAATGCAAAATGCTTCATACATAAAGCTCAGAAAATGGCTTTGAAAGAGCCGATACTGATTTTGTTAACTAGGTCATGAATTTAACTCTTAGGCTGAGCCCCACCCTGCTCTGGACTAAGCTTTTCCCTGGCCAGACAGCCCAGTGAAGACCTAACAATGCCACTAATCCCTGATTTTAGGATGCTGCAAACCAAGCAGCAGATCTGGTGTAATCCTTTTGGATTTTTGTTCAGCAGCCGAACTGAAAATAAATAGAAGTGTTAAAAACAAACAAACAAACAATTGCCATTTTTTCCTCAACTGGCTGAACGGAATCATTTTGTGTTGAGGAGAATGACCCAGAGAAATAGGAAGAATGTCCTTCTGGTCTGGTAATTAGAGCAGTGAGTTGTGGTAACTAGAGCAGGGTTGTGACAAAAAGTTGAATTGTTTATGCAAATTAGCACCACAAAGTGATGCTCAGTATTGTGAGAATTCAGGAAGTTACACAGAATCATAGAATTCTGCAACAGGTCGGGTTGGAAGGGATCTTAAAGACCATGTAGTTCCAACTTAGGGCAGAGACACCTTCCACTAGCCCAGGTTGCTCCAAGCCCCGTCTAACCTGGCCTTGGACACTTCCAAGGATGGGGCAGCCTCAGCTTCTTTGGGCAACCTGTGCCAGGGCCTCACCACCACCTCACTCAGGTTCCTTCAGCTTCAAAGCACAGGCAAAATCACTTCTCCCAGCCAAAACTATTAATTCAGACTGAACTCACAAATGGTTTCATGTTGACAACACTTCCTGTTGTCCTCACAGACTGAGGACTTGAACTGAACTTGAAGCCAGAACTGAGTGGCAAGACAGGGATAAATTTGTCACCCCCTTCTTTCATGAGATATCATAAAGAAAAGCCACCAACACTCCTGTGTTGGTATTTATTTACTGCATTTGACCCATACAGTTATTTAAGGAATTTCTGCTTCTTTCTTCCTATTTTCTTAGTCATTTATTGAAACTGAGCCCTTTTTAAAGTTGCTTTCTGGACACTGTGCAAGCAGCTTGAGAGTCTTCTGATCAGCACATTTTCTACATTAAGTTAAAATTTGGAATTCAAGAGCTGCAGCAGAAGTGTTTTCTTTTTTTTGTGATCTTGAAGTACAGAGTCTCATTACAGAGCAGGATGTAAAGGAGCTGAGTGGCAGATGAAGAGTCTGCACTGTTAGGAATGGTCACACATTGGTCAAGCCAAAAGGGAAGTAAGAGCTTGTGGTGACTGTTGTTGTATTGGAAGTAAATCCTTCAGTTTATGGAAAAGGAGGGACATGGATAAGAATGGATAAGAATGAAGACACAGATGGTCCTTTCACAGGGATTTCAGGGTTAATTGCACTGATCCTTGCTGGGTAGACCACTGCAGGATGTGTCTATGTGCGGGAAAAATGCTGTTCTTGGTACACCTCAGATGGTGAGAACATAAGAGCAGAGCTATGAAGCTCCACATGGAGCTCAGGTAGATATTTTTGTCTCCTAACAAAGTATAAAGCAGAGGTTGAGCTGCTCTGCCTCCTGGCTTGTGCTAACATCACCCTAAGCATCAGGACCACCTGAGCCCTCCTCACTAGAAGCAAGATCTTGCTGCCAGGAAGCACGACCCCAAAACCCACTGTACCATAGGACCTACTGCCCAAGAGGGAACGTGGCATTTAGCCAATATTTTTTTTCCTAAAGATATCCAAGACACCTGCTAGGTGGAAGGCCTCCCTGCTCATGGCAGGGGGTTGGAACGAGATAGTCTTCAAGGTCCCTTCCAACCCAAACCACTCTGTGATTTTACGAAGACAGAGGTTAAGAATAAAAACAAATAAAAAAGAAGACAATCTGGGGAAATCTCAGAGGGGTCAGGGTGCAGGCCATGACAGCCTGGGCTGATGTGTTGCCTTCCCCCTTGCTGCACCCATGTCAGCTGCACATCCATCCCCAGCCAGCTGGTACCTGATCAGGGTCAGCGCTCGGAAGCTGCAACTCACAGAGGAGACACCTCTCTCTCTGCTGTCCCGTGGCCATGACTCACTCCTGTGACTAAGCCTACAAAAAAAGGGTCTTTGGGCCATATCCAAAAGGCCACAATCTTTTTCACTCCATATGACCTCCATTGCATAATCCATGATCAGAAAGTCAAGTACTCACACACTTTTTAAAGAGCAGGATCCTATGTATGTGTTCCTTTGGGCAGAGAGCCTTTTCCTGTTTAAAACAATGGACATTTAAGGTATAAAATGTGTTTTTTTTTTTTTTTTGTGAGAAAGTACTGGCTCGCTGCAAAGTTGGAAGTACAATATCTGTTCAAAATTTGGTTTTCAATTGTAATTTACTTTCTATAGATTGTGAAAGATATTGCTCGCTGGTTATAGGACTGTAATGCAGAGCACAAGGGTTTCTATACTCTTTTAAAATTGCATCCTGCTTAATTTTCTGGTCTTTCCCAGGATGAAAGTATTAAAATTATTATTAAAAAACTAACCAGCTCATTTTTCTTTAAGAAGGCATTTGGTATCAATTTGCACAGCAGGAAGCACAGCGCAGAAATTCGCAATTGTCAAATGCTGACACTAAAAAAACAGTGAAATAAATGTCTGGAGCACCAACCTTGCACCCCCCTCCCACTGTGCCACAGGGAGAATTCGACAAAAATGGTTAAATTAAAAAATTTAGACTTCCCTCCCCCTCACACCCCCAAAAAAGCATGCAGTAGATAATCTAATTTTTCACACAGTAGAACCATAGAATCCCAGAGTGGTTTGGGTTAGAAGGGACCTTAAAGACCATCCAGTCCCACCCCCTGCCATGGGCAGGGACACCTTCCACTAGCCCATGTTGCTCCAAGCCCCATCCAACCTGACCTTGGACACTTGCAGGGATGGATCAGCTGATGGTGTTATTGCAGCATGGTCCTGGAGGACATGGTTTAGTGACGAACATGGTGGTGGAGCTGGTTGATGGTTGGACTCGATGATCTTAAAGGTCTTTTCCAGCCTTAATGGTTCTGGGACTCTATGATAACATCTCCAGCATCCTCCAGTTCAAGCGCACACCAGGTAACCAGAGTGACGTGGTGACAGGTTTCCTGTTGACTGAATCCCACAGGACAAGCCAACCTGAGAGCAGGGGTTTGGCAGGTCTAAACATGGGGCAAGGTCACCTGCTGGCCAGGGTTGATGCAGTGTGGAGCAGAGGAGATTTTGTGAAGGGTTGTTTTAAGGGTTCTTTAAAGGGTGTTCAGGCATTGGAAGGGGCTGCCCAGGGAGGTGGTGGAGTCCCCATCCCTGGAGGTGTCCAAGGAACGACTGGACGTGGCACTCGGTGCTCTGGGCTGGGTGACAAGGTGGGGATCAGGCACAGGGTGGACTTGATGGGCTGGGAGGGCTTTTCCAACCTCAGTGATTCTGGGATTCTGTGAAAACATGATGAAGAAACTAAATGTTTTGGGTCAAAAGGGTCTCTCTGTCAATAACTCTGTGCAGTTAAATTTTGTAAGTCCAGTTGCTGTTCAGCTTTAAAACATTCAGTATTATAAAAAATGTGAAATTATAACTTCAGTTTCAATTTCAACCTATTTGATAGGTCTAACGGGGGAAAAAAGTGTCAGAGTTGGAAAACTTTAACCTGTTTCAGGGGCATCACTTGAGCTGTGCTTTAGAGAACATCCCATCCAAATCCTTCCCGGAAATGGTGCCAGAAGGACCAGGACTGCTCAGGGCTCCGGGTGCATCCGTTGGAGCAGCGCTGATGGTGCAGACCACGCTGCTGTAGGAAGTTGTGTCACCTATGAAATGTGTATGGACCCGGCTCTTCCAAACCGTAAAGCTGTAACAGCGAATCAGAAACAAATTAATATTGTTGAAATTAATGAACTGAGAAATTGAAGTTCACATCACTACATGAACAAATTTATTAATATCTGTTGTACATAAATTAATGAGAAATATCATTATGGCAAAAATTAAACAACAGTAAAATTAAAGACTGTCTAAATTATGTTTCTACCAAAGAGTTAACTAGGAGAAAAAAACAGTGGTTGTTGGCATATCAGTCTTTATCTGTTAAAAAACTCAGGATATGGCTGGTCAGGGATATTGATAGACTCACAGAATTACAGAATATGCTGAGTTGGAAGGGACCCACAAGGATCATCGAGTCCAACCCTTAGCCCTGCACCTAGGACCATCCTCAGGAGTCACACCATGTGTCTGAGGGGATCATCCAAATGCTCCTTGAGCTCTGGCAACCTTGGTGCTGCGACCACTGCCCTGGGGAGCCTGTTCAGTGCCCAGATATCCTCTAGGGGAAGAACCTTCTCCTGATATCCAACCTAAACCTGCCCTGACACAACTTCAGGCCATTCCATCAGGTCCTGTCAGTGTTTTTTTATGGTGTTTGAGCTCCGGAGTTGCGAGGAGGTTTAGAGTCCTTGGCTTTGGTCTTGAGAGAGTTCTTGGCTTGCTCAGTCCTGCTTTTATCATAAAGTAGAATTGTGGAAAAGGAGGTTTTCTGAGAGGGGCAGGTCTGGGCAGGAAGTGATGGTTAGAAGGGATGTCCCCAAGGAATGGTGTTGTGGTAAGCAGCATTGTCGGGAGCCTGGAGAGCTGTGCACAGGAGTCAGGGTGCCCTTCCCTCAAAATCCTTCTCAGAGCCTCCTTTCCCAAGGAGGAGCCCTTTGTTTTGCTGTGAAAAGTGCGTGTCCGTGGTCCCTTGGTCCAGGGATGATGTGGAGGAACCCGGCTCTGCATCCTCCCAGCCGGTCCCGTTTGAGCATCGCGGTGGCTTTGAAGCAGCTGTGCCTTCCCCCTCAGCGTGACAATAACGGCTCCTTTCTCTTCTCTTTTCTCTTTTAGCCATGTCCGGGCTTGTAGTCCCGCCAATGTAAAGTCACTTTTGTTTACCTACCGTAGCACCAAGCTGCAGAGGATGGGCTTAGGGGACAAGTTTAGTATATTAAGACATGCTGATGGAAGCAGTATCTTCACGCAGAATCAGCAACAAATCGAAATGCTACAGGAGAAAAAAAAAAAAACAAACAAAAAAAAAAAGGAAAAAAAAAGACTTTGTTTAAAGATTTTATTTAAACTATTAAGAATCTACATGCAAACAACCTACTTCTTCATGAACAATTCCATTTTATTGACTGAATTTTTCTCATATTTTCACATTTCTCAGTCCTGGAGAATAAGGAAAAAGCGACGCCTATTTTGTATAAAGTTTCTGATTACGTCTTGGCTATGTCTAGTACTTGCTATGTGTTGGGAGAAACTTTGTGGATGCACCATTTTGATTATCATGAAACACTGATGAAAAATGCCTCCGAACATTTTTCTGTACTCATAACTAGATTCACAATGGTTGTGTATCTCTATAATGTGAAATATTTTTTTGTGGTGGAAAAAAAGGGGGCCAAGGAGGTTATGAGCCATCAAACTGGAAAAAAAAATAATAAAAAAAAATAAGGATGAATATATGATTAGAAAAAAAAAAAAAAAAAAAAAAAAAACAAAAACCACACACAAAAAACCGGGGCGTGGGGGTGGGCACGGGAGGGGGTTTATCGTTGCTTAACTTCATCTTAATGAAATGGAACTTTGTAACTTATTGTAGTTAGAAATTGTAACTTTGATATTGAATTCTCTTGCCTTCAACAAGCACACTGACAGAGAAAAAAAAAAAATTGCTACTGTCTGTTGGTTTAAAAAATGAAAAAAATATACTTCCACTGCTAGAGCTTCCTGTTAAGCAAGTGTGATCTGCAACATTTTTTCAACTTTTGCTAGCACTGTATACTATTGCATTTTAGGCTACTGTGAAGTCTATGTTTCTTGTACCAGAAAATTGTCCTTTTGACTTCTAGATCCTTCTTCCCTAATGTGTTTTGTATGTGGTTATAAAATTGTAGACTTTTGTGATTTTGCCAAAGTTGTAGCTAAATATTTATACACTTGTCTTGAATTTTTTTCAGATCCACTTAAATATTTAGAAAAAAAAAAGCAGATTTTATTCCTTATGGAGGCTATAAGGAATAAAATAGTCTTACCCATCGCAACACTTTCTTTCACATAAACACTTGCAGTCACTAAGGGAATTTATTTTGTAACATATCAACTATAAATATTGTATTTATCTTTGAAATTTTGTATATTGCTATTTTTTTCCTTTTTTTTTTTTTTTTTTTTTTTTTTTTTTTTTTTTTTTTTTTTTTTTTTTTTTTTTTTTTTTTTTTTTTTTTTTTTTTTTTTTTTTTTTTTTTTTTTTTTTTTTTTTTTTTTTTTTTTTTTTTTTTTTTTTTTTTTTTTTTTTTTTTTTTTTTTTTTTTTTTTATGTTCCTGTATGTATTGGTTTTTGTCCTGGCCTGGTATCATGATGCTGAAAAAAGCATTAAGCCAAGAACCGTTGCCTTCATGTTTTTCTTTTAAATAAATGAGTGTCCGTGCATTTCATTTGTACTTCATAAAGTTGCTATTGTTTAACCTTTCCATCCTTTTTTTCTTTATTATTTTTTTTGAGGAAAAGTCAAATTCATTGTTTATTTTTATATTATTTTTAAGTTATCAGAACAAATAATTTTGAAAAAAACCGTCGTTTGTTGTATAGTCAAATCAAAATTGTGCCACATGGCTGTAATGAATACTAGTAAAATATGTGCATGTGATACAGCCACAGAAAAGATGAATCTATTTTGTGGTTGCATTTTTTAATTTCCTTTTTTTTGTTTGTTTGTTTGGGTTTTTTATTATTATTTTTTTTTATTATTTTTTTAAAGATTGTAAAAAGTCATTTTTAGCTGCCACCCATGACTTTGCCACATAGCTGAACTGTGTTTACTGGAAAAATTCAGAGGCCTAAAGTTTAAAAATAAATTCACTTCTGATGTTTTAATTAAAATGTTTGCCACATGAACTTCTCTGATGCCTTAAAAGTGAACTTCTTTGAAGAACTTTTGTGCTGTTTTATCACAGGCTTAAACCACAATTGTTAATCATGACTTCATTAGGATGATTTCTGGTGTAAAAAATAAGGGGAAAAAAAAAGCACAATCCCAGTGTACAATTCTCCCACTCCTTTCTGTGTCAGTTTTCTGCTGCACTCTGCATTCTCCCAAACCCTGCACTGCTCCAACACGGGAAATCAGGATCACACCGAATTTTTAATGTCTGGGAGTTGTTTAGTTACGTTTCTTGGGGTGTTATTTTTTAGGGAACTTTTTTGTAAATGACCCATAGCTGACTGTACTTTTTAAACTGGAATGACCTCCGTTGTATTCCGTGGCTCTTAGTGCCAAACCCAGCGAGAGGAACGTGGAGTTGTTTTTATTTTTCCTTTGCACTAACTGGTTTGCCAGCACAGCACTGCAAAACACGTTGCAAACTGCAGCAGAATTCACGTTTTAACCGAAAAGGAGGGATCGTTTTTTTAAAAATTATTTTTGTTATTATTTTTAATTTTCTCTTTTATTTTTTTTTTTCTTTCTGGGCAAAATAAAAAAAAAATGCACATTTTAGTAAAGCTTTTATTAATGGGTTTAGAAGAACGATACAGCTCTGTGAGCACGGCCAAGGCTTGGCTAAGTGGGAAAGCCTGAGAAGTCACTTTGGAACTGAATTGCCTCCGTTATATTTTGTCTAAGTAAGGTTTTGCTCTAAAAAAAAAAACAACAGAAGAGGTCACGTGTACATGTTAAGAAAGTCTGCAAGTTCCTTCATAAATGCAATCTGTTTGTGTTTTAGATTAATTAGTCAATGCACTCATTGCTTCATTGTCTCCAGACGAAAAGCTCACTAAATGGTAGATTTTACTGTTAAAGACCCTACAATAAGATTGTTTTATCTGTACATTTTTTCATATATTTAACTGTATAAAAAAATGTTCATTTTACACAATATTTAATTAAAGTATTTCTTGTCTGTGAATTTCATTTTTAGTAATTTTATCTGGTTTGATTATTAAAAAAAGTGACTAAAACACTAAATGAAAAAATGCAACATTGGGGGTTTCATTTCTAAATATCAGAATTTTTATTTCTTGGTTATGAAAAAGCCCAACCCTTGACATGGTCTTTTCAGTTCCCTGGGAGGAGGATGAGGAAGGGGATTTCTGCTCCACAGAAAAATGCCTTTTTGCTCAACCTTGCTGCAGCATTTAACCAAAACCACTCACTTGTTGTGAAGGTAACAGCAGAATATCTCTTTTTCTTATTTAACCAAAGCTGTGCACTTTAGACACCCTTCTTCTAAAGTGAAGGTAACAGTAGATTTTTTTTTTTTTTTTTTTTACTATTTTAATATCATATTGTAAAAGCCTGTAAACAGGAAAAGTTATTTTAAACAAAGCACAACCCAAATTTTCCGTGTGGCACTTGGACACCGAAGGTCGACGTGCTCGTCTTTTAACTGTTGATAAGGAAGCAAATGCTTTGGCTAATTATAATACTGAGCACAAATATTTCACCCTCTGGACCACAGTATGTGCAGTGTACATATAATGGAGTTAAAAAATATATATATATACACATATATATATATAGAGAGAGAGAGAGAGGAGGGCACGATGCAGCCTCTGAGTCAGGGAGAGTTACAATGCTGTGCCTGATTCCAGGTCTGAGTTCCCCACCCCAGATGCCAAGTGTGCTCCTGTATCGTTGTGTGTGAGCAGTAGCACGAAAAAAAAAAGGTGTGTTTTTTTTTTTTTTTCTTTAAACAGGAATATGGGTCTGGCAGAGCAATGTCAGTGCCTGTGGTGCTAAAGCAGGGAGTTTGTTACGGATTTTGATCCGGTCATTAATCAGAGGGCTGCTGACAACTTCGAGAGGGCACTGAGAAACTCTGAGCTCCAAAGTAAATACGTGGACTGGTGCATGTGAATGTAGTGCCAAATGACACACCATGTGCCAGAGCCCCTCCTTCATCACCCTGTGTCCTAGTGGTGGAGTGGTGGAGTGTGATGAGAAGAGTCAGCTCACTGTAGTCACAACCTACAAAGGAGAAAAACTGGGATGTTTAACCATGTTTCCTTTCTTCTCCATTATTTCCATAGTTATCATGTTTTATGAAAACAGGTGTGACGAAAACAGGTGTTAAAGCACTTTTGATTATTATTATCATTATTATTATTATTATGCATTGAAAACTGTTCCACTTTGAGTGTGTATCCGTGTATCGTGTTTAAACAGCGGCATAATCAGATGCATCCCACTAAAAAAATAAGATGGTTTTTAGGGATGAAAGTCTGCGTGATGCCTACTGGCACTTTTCCTTTTAGGTTTATTTCAAAGGTTTGAATAATGAGCATCTAAATGGTTCCTCTAACTTTCAATGCAAAGAAAATACAAAAGGAGAAAACCCACACAAGCTGTACAAGGAGTGACAAGTCCTAGAGCGATCCACCACCTACATCTGTAGCTTGGGTAACAGCCCTGGTGAGGAAATATGTTGTGTCAGCCTACAGTGAGTTTAGACATAGGAAGATGATAAAAATTCCTTAATCAAAAATGAAGGAATAAGAGTGTCTAAAAGTATACGCCAATTATTGCAGAGCAGCTTTTAAAAGTCTTTCAAGCTTTTAAAGATTATTCAAAGCACTTGAAATAGGCTTCAATCTAATGCCTCATTTCATTGCATTAAACAGCCTAGTTAATAAAGAATCAATATATTCAAAGGGCAAGGTTATCTTTTGTCTATAAGGGGTGGTGTCATTCTGAACCTTTTATAGTTCAAATGCTGAAAAAGACCTCATGAAATCCATACTCATCAAGTGGGTCAACTAGAGCAATAAAGAGGCCTCTGAAAGAATGGCTGCACTCCTTTAAAACAACTATAAGTCTTATCTCCCCACATAGTCCTCACCAGGCTCCGGCAGAAAATGTCAATTTCTCATCAAGACAAGAGGCCCGACGATAATTTTTTTTTCAGAGAATACACACAATTAGGAGAATGCAGAAAGGCCCCACCAGTGATTTGTAGCTTATTATGTCACGGGCAAGCTGCGATCCGCTGCTAAGCAGATAATAAGGGCTGTTGATAACTAAAGTGTCGATACGGCACAGAATGATTTTTGAATGTGAGCCCTTGTGCTTCCCCTCCCCTCCTCAGGCAGATCCCGGGGCCGATAATGGTGCATCTGCCAACCGACACCGCCCGCCGGACCCCACAATTAATGCCGTGAATAAATAACACAAAGGAGCGGAGATTCTTTATACTCTTTGAGACAATTCCCTGTTTTACCCTTCAAGGAGTTCTTTTATGTGCGAATAAGGTTGCTTTTAATGAAATTTAAACTCATCAGAGGAAATCAAAACCCTCAAATCAGATTACAAATTGATTTTTTTTCTTTTTTTTTTTTTTCTTTTTTTTTTTTGGCCACTTGTCGTTGTACAATGTAGTGCCCTAAGTTTTACAGGGAAAGGAAGAGAAAGCACCCAGTCTGGAGTCAGGGCGTGCAAACAACCTCTACAAAAGCATACAAAGGAGGAACGTTCCTGAA